GAGTGGAGAGTACTGTGTATGTACTATTACTTTCACTAGATCAATGCTCAGTTTTAAATTGTTTTCTTTCTCTAAAAAGGTGTAACTAACAACATGGGACACATAAAACGTGATTTCAGTAATATATACTTTAATAATATCCACTTTTAAGGAGCACTGTGGGCTTTTCTGTGGGTTAATTTTTAGAGTATGATATGTACATTCTGCCCAGTGTCTCAGTAGTTAGAAAGAACCCTAAATGGCACTTTGAGAACAAACAGTTTTGTTGTACTCACTTTTTTATTGCCCCTGGTTAAATAATGTTTTACAGTCCTTTAGAATACTTTTGTGTCGTACTATTGCTCACCCTTAAAACAAAACTAACATACTGATAGCAGAGGTATAGAGACTGAGTTTCAGAGAAGGTAAGTGACTTGGCCATGGTCCTAATTGTTGCTACATAAAGCTGACCCTAGAGCCCAGATTCCAAATTAAATCTGTTCAACTGAACTGAGTTTCTTTCTTCTTCTCAAATAGACAGTATAGGGAAGTTAACTCACATTGTGCCATTTTCTTTTCCTCATGAAATCCAAATGAGATGTGAGGAAATATAGTTGGCATTTTCATGGTTTTCTGTGGCCTCAGAATAACCCATTGAGGTAGGTGAGGCACAGAAGGCCAGTTCACAGGTTAGGAAACAGACTGTAAGAAGTTATAAACGCAAGTGGTGGTAAACGGCATAGTGGTGAATGGCAGTGCTGGAATTCAAGGCTACCAGTTCCTCATCAAACTCCTTCTACTGCATTATTGTGAGTATAGTACCAGTTAGAATAATTGTTGGGAAAATGCTGTCAGAATAGGATTGCAGGTTTTCATGTCACATTACAGACCTGGGCAAAAGCAGGAGATGAAGAGCTCTTTACTATCATGCCATCAGTTCCAGTGATTGAGCCCTACCCCACTCAGTAGTCTTTCTTCTTAGCGTAGAATATGACCAACAGCATTTTGATTAATAATGAGTAATAGGTAAATTGCATTTGGGTCTGTTTTCTTAAAAGTGAAAGTCCTTATATTTTGAACAGACCCTTTAAGTATCAAAATGCATCTTTTTCCCTGTTTTTTTCACATTTTCTAATTGTACCAATGGAGAGTGAAATTGACCAGTTACAGACTGGGTTGTTAAGGAACCCTGAATTTTAATTCCATGTTGCAAAATCTACCCCTGGGATCTCACCTTCCCATCTTAACTTTTACAAGAAGGCTAAAGACCTTACCTTTGTTGTTGTTGTTGTATCGTGCTCTCCAATTTTAGCACACATTCTACTCCCCATTAAGTCTCAAATATTAAACCTGTGAATGAATGAATGAATAAATGAATTGAGTGTCATAGTTCTTAGTGATATGGATCTGATTAGACTTAAGAGTAGTCCCTTACTAACAATACTGAAACATTGATTCCTTTGGGATTCATGTGCTTTATTCTTCTGCAGCTCATCAAGAACTGTGTGAGTGCTGTCTATATCCTGAGCACTAGGTACTGTGGTAGATGGAAAAAGGAATAAAACTCACAAATTTTCCATCAAAGAACTCACAGCTTAGTGGGATGTGTGAAGCACATACATAATAATTATCTTTCTATATGTGCTTTTAGAGGTAAAAACATGCTGGAAGGAGTCAGTACCTTTTGGTTTACAGAATTAGAGGAGGTTTCATGGGCTTGGGGAGTATCGCTGCAGGGGAAGGCCGTTTAAGACAGAGAACTATGTGAACCAAGGAAAGAAAATGGAAAAGTATAAGGTATGCTTAAGAATAGTCCAGACTTGCTAACTAAAAAGCTCATATGTAGATTCATGGTGGGAATTAAAGTTGGCCAGATTCAGTTAGGATCATATGATAAAGATACTGAATTCCAGACGTGGGTGTTTGTATTTAAATTAGCAGGCGGTGGGAAACCATTGATGGTTCTAAATGGCAGAGTGACATGATCAGAGCTTTTATTTATTTATTTATTTATGGTAGGGCTTTTCAACAAGACAGATGCGAAGGATATCATTTACATAGCAGTAACCAGGATTCTCCATAATTCCTAACACTTTTCTGTTACTCCACTCCCTCTCCCACTCAAGAAAGCGTATTGGGAAACAGTTGAAGAACAGTAATATTAAATATCCAAGTCAACTTTCATTTATTTAAAAAAAGCACCTACAGATTTACTTAGTGATCGTTATAATTTGTGATACACTCTATAATGAATTGAGACACAGAACTGTGTGTTGTGATGGCAATTAAAAACCAAGGTTGAAGATAACATGGCAACACTATGAAGAATGGATCGAAGTGAGGAAATACTGGATGTAGTGAGAAAGAACAACTAATAAGCTATTAATTATTCCTGGAAAGTTTAAATCAGGTCTGAATTAGAGTTTGCAGTGGAAGTAAAAGAAGAGATAAAGTCTATAGGCCCTGCAATGTACTGGACACTGGTGATGAGTAAGTGAAAGGAGCCTAGGATGAATTGGAA